TGAGATGTCTCAAATAGAGCGGGCCATCTGGCTTTGATGTCCTCTATAATGGGTGATTGGTTGATGATTTCGTTTCTTCTGTGTGCAAATGTTTTGGCCATTTTTTCTTTTATCAATGCGTTGTTGTCCTTTTTCTTTACTTCAGTAAGCAACAGAATTCTCTCTTGTTCTTGACTTTCTTCATCCTCTCCAGCCGGGTAAGGAGGAAGGAAGTTTATCTCTGCTTTTCGAGGCTTTTTAACATTCTTTGCAGACTTCTTGTCCGCAGGGGTCTTGCGTTTTAGTGCATTGCATAACACCTCAGGAACACCGTAGCCTCTGAGTTTGGTGCGATAATTTGACATCTTGTATTTAAGGCTTTGCTGCCAGCCATAGTAACCTGCAAAGGAACCGGGTTCCTTGAGACAAGGATATTTATTGACAAGTGCCTCAGCAACATCACTTATCTGTGAACCTGATGGATAGGCTGTATAAGTATATACAGTTTCAGCCAGTTTCTCAAGTATGTCTGCCTTGATCTTAGAGGTAGTGAGAAGTGTTCCATTCTTCTTGTAGTCCTCATTGCCTCTTTCAAGATACATCTCAGTTTCGTATGCAAACTGCGGAATGGGGAACTGCTTTGGCCATGGCTGACAGCGTTCTGTGGTACTGCGCCCAGACAGGATAATGGTGTCCTGTGAAGAAGATGTTCCAGCAGATGACTCTGCATTTGATGCAGTTGACTCTTCAAACGATGCAGAGTCACAGTCAGTGGACTGTTGAACAGAGGAACTGTCCAAACTTTCATGAGCTGCATACAAGTTCAGAAGAATAGGAGAAGTGTGAACAACCTTTATGGTGCCTTTGTGTTGGATAAGATCACTGTTGTGAAGAGTAAAATAATCTTCAAATTCCAAGTCAAAATACTGAAGACTGAACTCAGTAGAAATCCCAAAGGTCTCCTTCACAATATTATGCAGCTCCTCCACAGTGGGCGGGATTCCTGATGGAAGGACCAACTTCTCAATTCGGTCGTCAATTATTACTCTGAGTTTTGCCTCCATCTCTGCCATCCTGACTAGCTGCATCCTTCAAATACACAAAAGACAGTTTTGTGGCTCTTCAGGTGATTTCCTATATGCTGAAAGTAGTCCTTCTCTGTAGAACAACTAGCACTGCAAACTAAACACTTAAAAGCAGGGATGATTCCTGGCTGTATACTGCCATGAGCTGTATGATACCTGGACAAATTTGTGCGAAGGGCACCCTGTGTTTTAAATGGGCAAGGGCAACTGTCATATAGACATGGCTGGGTTTGCCCACGACCAAATGTTGCGTGTTGTAGTCTGTAATGTTTTAGTAGATTCCCTTTTGTTGCAGACAAAGACTTGCAGATCTTACACTGCCACCCCATAGGCCAGAACCTAAGATAATAAGAAAAAAAGGTGTTTTTAATTTAGTGTATAACTAGTAGCCTACATCACTAATAGATCTAGTAATTAAATAATGTGCCAGGGCTGAACAACTAATCAAAATTTTATCAAAATTGCAATACAGCCTACTGCAATTTTCAAATCACAGGAGGTACAATATTTCTTACATTTCTTAAATCTTAAAAAATTATTTTAAATGAAATGTTCTGCTGCAAAGATGTCCTGGCCTACACATCCTAATCTAGAGACTTAAAAAAAACATCCGTTACACATCCCTGCAAGAATCACGCCATAATCATCTTAATTTTTTTAATGAAAATAAGAAAACAATTATACAAAATTATATTTCCCTCAGAAATTGCAAATCATTTCGCAACTGTAATGTCACTGAAAAGATCATCACAATTAAGTTTTTTTTTTAAATCATCCAGCTCTATAATATACCAACTATGGATGAATACCTCATCCAATCCCACTTCAAAAAATGAACTATCGTTTTAAGATGTTAAGACAAAAATATGAAACAGATTTTAAGGTAATATGCACATCAACAAATGCCAAAAAATAAATATTAAAATCAAAGATGCCCAAAACGGACTAAGGAAACATTTCTCTCACTCTCTCTGTGGCAGCTCAGAGTCAGTACGAAGCTACATACTGATTTCAACCCAACATTCACAGACGCATCTCACTGTAACTGTTTATCTGTCAGTGTGAGCTGCAGCCACAGTTTGAAAGCATAACGTTTTTCCGAGAAAACGGGAAAAATGAGGAAGCCGTTTGTGCCAACTGAATGTAACTAGCGTAATGTTAATGGAGAGCCTCAGTGAGAGCCGGTGAACTGGGGTTTAGCAAAACACCAGCCATTGTGCTCAAAACACGCCAAATTAAAAGAAGAAAGAAGAAACAGCGCACTTTGTCTGAAAATGTAACTATGCAAAACGGCTGATTTTTCTTTCGAAATGTGTAACGTTATAAAAACTGATTAGAAATCTGCTTTTAACATGCTACTTGAGTAAAAATGTTACTTGAGTACATTTTAATTGTAAAAACTACATGCAGTAACTTTAAACGAAACTCCTGAGTTGATTAGCTCATTGATTATCTCACCGTTGAAAACAACGTCTGTTCCTCCATTATGGTGCCCAAACATGCTAGCTAGCTTGTTAAGGTGGGGGAGGGGAAGCTTGGGCTGAGGCCAAGAAACTAAATTAAATAAAAGAGTAGCTTGTATTCTACGGCCACTATATAACGGTATTACGTTAGTCACATTAAATTGTGACATTGAGACTACTTTTTCAATCATTGCAATGCATTTAGTCAAATCAAAGAGGACGTAGACTGACTTCGAATCCTTCACAATATAACTTAATTGACTTGCTGTACAGTAAAGTTGCCATGTTTGCTAATTTGCAGTAACTTAAGACAATGTTTAACTGCTACAGACACTTGAATTGTTTAACTAAGAACACTTAAAACATGTCTTACCTTTAAGCAAACGGTAGTCCACGAAATGCTGAGCAGACGCGATGTTCCTGTGATGAAAATGCCTTGGGCGGGAAAAAGTCAAGGCCTCCCAAATGAGTAAAATTTATCAATTTTCTGCATTTTTGACTTTACCAATGAAAATAAATAAATAATACTTATTGTTTTTTTGCTGATTATATTTAAATAAAAACAGAGTAAAATGCAATTAAAAAAATATTCAAATTTGGTTAATTCAGCTCAGTGAGATTCAAAACTGCACACAGTCTTTTTTATTATGTATAGTTTGCTCTTATTTATTTAGTAAATATTACTTAACCCTGATCACACTTTTTTCAGTGATATTTGAAAATAAACCGAAATGAGTATTTTCCAACCACTCTCCAAATTTGTAATTTTCATCGGATTTCAATAAAAGGCATCCATTTTTGGCCATCTTCAATAGTTTCCTTGTTGCTTGTAGGATATGGGGATTTCTTTTTGTTT